AAAAAAATGGGAATACAGTATCACACATGCGTGCATGCGCACGTACGAGCACACACGTACAGATCTACACGTACATGAGGACAAATAGGTGTGCTTCGTCGCGATAAATGAAGGAAAAAAATGCTGCAAACTTGCTCGAAGGAAGAAAAAAAAATAAAAGAATGGATGAGAAAAGCTTTCCTTTGCTAGGCTGTTCTGTGACGCTTGGGCAAAAAAAAGAAAGAAAAGTGAAGAAAAAAATATTTTTGTGCTGCTCGCTTGACACAAATATATATGCACGCGCGTATATAAGTGTATATATACAAAAAATATATACGTATTCATACAAAGTAAAAAAAGAATGGATGGAAGTTTGGCGGAAGATGCACGACTCGCAGCGCAGCACAGCCTGCGTATGCTGAGTTGAAAGCTAAGCTCTAAGTATCTCGATAGTATAAAAGCGACAGGCGTTAATGCACGCCGAATTTCCTTTTTATCTTTATTCCTTTTTTTTCTCTTCTTATGCGAGAGTTACCCCGGCAGACAAGCGCAGGATTTTCCTCTTTCGACGACGGTTATGTGTCTTCATATTTAACGGAAAATGAATTGCCCAACACTTTTTTCCTTTCGCTATTTTTCTTCGCTCGATTTTTTCAAGGATAGGAATGTACAATAGTAACAAATGGATAAACATAACTTTTCGCTATTCTGTATTATCAAAAATCGACTGAATTAACGATAATTTTTGAGTTACGCTTTTAACATTCTCATGCGTGACGATATATGCTCTCGCTCAAGTAAATTTTGAAACATTCTTGCATACACGCACAAATTCACACGCATTACGTTTATATGCACACGAATCATGTCGGATTACAATTTTCTACATACAGAGCTCCCTGAGAAACTACTCTCGCGAAGTTATGATTCGATGTGTACATGGGTAACTGCGTCACACACATACACAGACGCGCGCGCACACACACGCATACAAACACGCGAGTAGTGATACTCGACTCGTGTAAAGTACCAAGCTGCACGTGACAATTTCACAATTGTTCGTTAATTTTCTTTTTCACTTGTTTTCTCGAGCGCGAGAGTGTCTATTCGACAAAATTAAAAGAAAAAAATTTCTCAACGATATTTCATTTAACCGACTCGATTGCGTTACATAGAAGAAGAAAGTTGCTAACACAAAATAAAAGTGCTCGAGAATCGTAAAACTGTCTTTTGGGCGCTTCTGCACTAGACACGCTGTTTTGACATGCAGGCAAATATCCGAGTAGCTGTATAATATAAAGCAGATGCAAGTAAACATGCTTGTGTGCAGAGGAATGTCTGCGCTTGATGGAAGACGATGAATGAAGCGCGTTGCTTTGAATCTTTTAGTATGCATGCATTTTTATTGCAAGTGAATAAAATATATATAATCAATCACATTTCGATGTAGTTCCCTCGATGTTAGAGAGAGTTGTTCCAACCGAGAAGAAGAATTTAAAGATTTTTATTTACAGCTACGGTAATTTTAAAAATAAGTAGATTTTTTCTTTTAACTCAGCACATGCTAGAAATAATTTTATACTAAATTTGTGTAACTTCAAATGATTCGTCTAATTCTAAAACAGATTATTCACGTGAATAAAATATTGAAAAATAAGTACATTAGATCAATATTGACGAAACTTAATTGAAGTTTGAAAATTGAAGTAAGCCTAGACATACAGAAACAGAGAAAGAGAGAGAGAGAGAGAGAGAGAGAGAGAGAGAGAGAGAGAGAAATACTCGCCGTTGACAAAACTAATCCAATATTCGTGTAAAGCCGTGCGAAGAGAGAGAGAGAGGGAAAGAACAATTTTGGGCTCACAGCAGAGTCGACTGAGTGAATATTGCAGTTTTTCTGTCGTTTTACGGTTCCTTTTTTCTTTTTCTTCCGGTGACTCATATTTACTTTTTTCTGTTCTAGGTTTTTTATTCTGCGTTACTTCTGTTTCCACGCTCGCGCGTTCAAAGATTTCCAGGTGAATAGCGTTGGGGCTTCACAAAAATCGCGGATTGCAATCGTACAAAGCAAGAATGAAATTCTCATTTTCTCTTTTAATTATTTCATTCACAGTTGCAATATATATACAGCTTCCGTGTGTCAATGCCTCCGGCCTCCTCTGCCAAAAGCCATTTTTTTAATTACTCAATGCGTGGGTATAGTTAATTCTCATTATTATATTCACGTTGCCGCAACGGTTTTTTACCTAGCCCAATACTGCAACCAATCGATTTGATATTTAACATCTGCTTCAGCCGTCTATCAGAAATGCACTATATTTACTCGCGGTAGGATGTCCCCGTTCCAAGGAAAAACCGAGCACGCATTTGTCGACGCACATGCTAACATATATAAGTGCGCACATACCAGAGATGCTCATTATTCCGACAGTTATTAGAATATTTAAATCACTCTCGAAAGCAGTAAGACTCGAGCTAGGTTGAAAATAAAACAACTCCTCAGATAACATAGTTAAGCGAGTTGTGCGTCCAACTCGACGGTCTGTGCTGTAGATGCCTGACACAGACTCACTACGACGCGACGTCGTTTTTCATGGCTAACGACCAATTATCCTCATTTTTTTCACATAAAATCATCATTCTTGGATGATAGCTCATTTTTTTCTCATAATTTTGTTAATTTACGAACATTTTTAAGCATGTATGTTGTGACTTGTGTAAAAGCAAACTTGTTACTGCAGTTATAATTAATAATTTATATCTGTTGTCGCACTGCGTATTACTTGATGATTCATTTTAAAAATTGTCACACAATTATAAATGAATTCAAAATTAAAACTATCATTTTAATGATATCATATTATCACTTGTATATTATATGCGATATATTTGCTAATTCAAACCGTCTGAAGAATTCTCTCGCTTAAAATATAATTGAAGATGCACAGGTGTCATGTTTTCAATGAATCATGCCATTTTCAGTAACTAAATTTCCGCAAGCTGTTTTTTCCACATTCTCCTCGAGTGCACTACAACATTCGCATCCGCGCGTATATGTTATCAAAATATGCACGTTGTTTATTCGATGGGGTTTCGTGGTTTTACCGCACGCTTGACGAAGTATTTCACAAGTCGAAGAAATTCGAGTATTCAGCCACACTTCGCCTAAACTTACACGATAATTGAAAATAAAGTATACAACTGCACAGCTCCCAGTATGAAGTGCAATTCCAGGTAGGAAAATTAATTAGACTGTGATGCTAAAAATATTTGCCTCGGTCTGAATAAATTGGATATCGGTAAAAGTTCTAGCCCATGCGCCATGGTATTTCAATTTCAGATATTTTATTAGCATGTATACATACAATTAAGGACGATGATTTTTTTTAATAGCATCCGATTTACATTCCGAGTAAATTCAAAAATTTTGTGAATTCCGTCAACATTAAAAGAACCATTCAATCAACTGATTGATTTCTTTACGAATTATAAATTTAATTTAAAATTTTTTTTTCAATTTCAATTTAAAAAAGTCATCTTTTTAACCATTTTTACTTTTTTGCATTCATAGTTGCAACGAGTTGACAGATCATTTTAAATAGCTTGACTTTTTAACGAGGATAATCGAGCGATTCTTTGAAAAGAGATAGGCAGAGGATGTGGAAAAACTTGAACGTTCGATTTACCGCTGTGCATGCGGCTCCTTTTCACATACACACACATACGCGGCAAAAAGCTCTGTGTTCTCTTTGAGTCTATATTGCGCGCACCGTGGGAGAAAATCCCTTTGTGCGCATTGTACAATACTTGCAGCCGTGTGTCAGCCGTGTCGTGCATAGTGCGGCTATACTCAATCGCGGCTTTTTTCATCATTCTATTTCACACCTACTTGCGAATAACGTGCATTATGCATTGGTGACAGATAAAAAGTAAAAATGAAATCGGTCCATTATCCACGCTTCGTGCAGGGCTGGAATTTATAAGATTACGCGCGTCGATATTAGCCTCATGCGAATTTGATATGGACATGGAAAAAAGTGTGAATTCGTTCGCTCGATTGTTTCGATGCATTGATGGCACAATAATTGCCATAAAATTCTCCCTTGGACCGAAAATTCGAAAAATATTCTTCGTACAGTTGAACTGAGGAAGTGTAAATCCCGTAAAATTTACTGTATTTCATCGTTAAGAGGTCAAAGTCTGAAAATATGATAAAAATCGGCATCATAATTATTACTATTTTTTCTATTAAAAAATACTTTGCAGCATTATAATTTTTCTCATATTTTCAGTCTCAGGCCAAGTTATGATGTAGCAGAGTAAATTTTATTTTCAAATTTTCAGCGTACGTGACGAGATAAGTTCGAACTTTTTTTTGGTATACGAAAGCTACCGACGAGAAACGACAGATTAATCGAGCTCTGTTATTGACTCGCGTATTCGTCGCGACAGAGAGAAAGAGCTGCATACAAAGCCTCGAGCTAAAAAAGAGCATATCCATAATACATGCCCGAATCGCGTGACGTTGGTAAATATCAACTCGTCACACGGCTTCCAAATTTTTTGCGTTTAACGTTGTACCTCCGATTCGTTAAAGTAGTTTTTGCCTCCGGCTCCGCGAGGCGTGAACACATTGATAGTAGACTCCTGTACACACAGTCGTCACGCGCAATCATTTGTATCGTCTCATAGATTAACTCCCCGCAAAAAAAAACAACTTATGTCTATCCGCATAGAGCGAGCTTATATCATTTTCACATGGACAAAGCAAAGTATTAGTCAAACACGCCGCGTAAACTTCTTCAGTTTGAATAATATGAATCAACTAATCCTATTATTGTGCAGCTGTATTCTCTGCTTTCAACTGCTGGAAATATGTGTGCAGAGAATATTTCAAAGCTTGTATAAATTGAAACGTTTTGGTAAGAAAACTCGATTAATTAAGTTGAAAGGCCCGCTCGACTTTGTGTATAGGTATTTCGTTGAAATGATATTATTAATAATGAATATGCGTTACTTACCGGTCGGCGGGACAAAGGCGAAGAGGACTTTCCAGAAGATGGTGAGGCAGTGCATGAGATAGTCACCGACCGAGGGCGAAGACGGTTGTCTCGCCGCACCGTCCCCGCTTTCCTCGCCGTCCTCGTCGTCGTCACCGCCGCTGACGGTCAGCGCTTCCGTGAACTGCTCCTTCCACGAGCTCGTGCCTATGCAACACCAGGATATGCAGCGATTATATTTCCTGTTTCTATGCTTTGCTAAAACAATGGTAGAGAGGCGTGCGTGTTTTGTGGCGTGTTAATTTTGTTTTTCGTTTTTTTTGTATTATATATTATGTGAATTAAGCGCTACCCGTATATTATACGTCGAACTCGTTCTATCATGTGCGGTGCTTTGTATATATTTAACAAGCGAGTTATTTCCAAGCGAGCGAATTAATTGACTATTGGGGTGGCTTAATTGATGGAGACAAAGGATCTGTTGCTTGAGTTTAAACGAGCTACCCTTATCTCCTTGTTTGATTCTACCACCCGATCCTGTGAAGAAAGATTTAAAGAAGAAAAAAAAATAACAAAGCTTCTGTCGGCGAATGTCATTTATTTTTCTTGGATATTTCCTCGTGTTTTTCACTCTGGTGAGAACGTATTTGGAGAGTCTTTGTTCTGTTTCGGTATATTGTCTTCGATGAAAATTGGTAAAACGTAACTTACCCAAAATAATCGAGGCATTGGCCCTCTGTACAAGTTTGTCGACGGTATTCTTGAATTCCTTGGATTCCTTGATCCTGATCTGTGCGCGGAATATCTCGCCAAGCTTTGGCCTGCCCAGCAGTGCCATTTTCTCCTCTTCCGTGCGGTCCTCCGGCGCTTTCATCTCGGCGGCCACAGCCAGTCCTGCCTCGGCTATAAGCAAATAAATGAATTCTATCAACGAGTTGTTTCTGTCGACGCGTTCCGAGGCACCAGTTGGCTGCACAGTTGGTTCGCGGTCAGACACGCTTTGGTCGATTATTCATAATTACGAATGTCTGAATGTCGGATGCAACGTTAAGAAACGTAAGATAAAACTTTCATGGAGTAAAAAAATCGCATCGACCTGTGATGGCTGACCGTTTACCAACTTGCACTACTTGAACTCACTGTAGGGGTTTAGTATTTTAAGATAGTTATTTGCGGTGCTGGCATGTATAACAATTACGTCATATTTTTATTCATAATAAAGTACCAAGGAAAGCAATTGATTTAATTTCTTTTCTTAAGATCTAAAAAATTTCAGGCTTGCTTGCTTTTTCTATTTAGCATTTTACACGTAGATTTAGATTAATATTAGCGGCAGCAGCATCAACGCTGTTATCAAAAGTACGCAATAACATATTTTGTATTTACAAATATAGCTTGATTATTAATGAAATAACAATGCACATCTATTTTGAACGTTGAACAACACTGATCAAATTTTTTGTTAGTATTATAAACTACGTGAAGCGTTTTAGTAATTACTTTATTGCAAACTACTAGAATATTTGAGCGGTTTGAAAAAATTTTGATTGATATAAGCGGTTCTACATCTTAGACGGACATTCTATTGGTTGGTCCAGATGACAGTTGCTGTCATAAGATAAACATGTTGGACTAGCAGTGAGTGAAAAATTTCGTTGAAAATCCATCCAATTTTTATTTGATCGATTTTCTTTATGGTCATCGCATGTTATATTTTTATATATTATTGGTGACAGGGCATCAATTTAATGGGTTGCACTTTTATCATGTGAAATTCAATCGGAATTCAATGCAAAGTCAAATAACGAATTAAAATTTAAAATTATTAATATTATATTTAACGCCCTTCCATAATCATTTACTTTTCTCACAACCATGGTCGTTAACAATCTACGTCCATCGATGCACTCATATTATATACCATGGCATAGCTGCAGATGTGCACCATGCAGACGTCTCTTTATACTTTTACACCGTAGCAGGTAGGAGAAGGGGGGAGGGGGGGGGGAGCGATTAATCGACATCCGAGCCTTCTACTACATATTGTTGTGAGCACGCGTGTATACGACGCGCAGCAGTGCACGTTAAGAGGCGCAGTTCTATATGCGTTGTACGGGGCTTCCAAGCCTATATACATATATACGACATTCGGCCCTCCCGTTCCTACACACATACTTTGCGAGCTCGCGCGCGAGGTTACGATCGGACATGCGACGAATAAATCATGAGCCATGGGACACACAACGTACAAACGGTGCGGCCTATGGAGCGGGCGGCGGTGCGCGCGTCAATGTAGGTGTATGAGGCCATTTGCGTGGCTTCGGTTGTGACGTGATTGTGTGTGCCTCTTTTGCGCCCTCCGACACGGTATTAATATGATCATTCTCTCTTTTTTTCCGTCCCTCCACGCTACTCGTTCGTTGGTGGGTCTTTTTGTGTGTACGGATATTCGAAAGGTAAGAGTGTATTGATTTATGTAGGCTGCCGTTGCATTATCGATTGATCCGGAGATATTTCTGCGATAAATGTGTCAAAATTATTTACTGGACAAACTTGTGCGAAACTGTAATAAAATGTCTGTAAAATTTTGCTGCAAGGATGGCTATTCAAAATTTTGTGATAAACTCTTTTACTATGTAATGAATAAATTATTGGCGCTTACTAACTACAATGGATTTTTTCAATATAATGATTTCATAAAATTTATAATAAAATCTTTTCCTCTGCCAATAAACCTTTTCAGAAATATTTAATAATATATATTCGAAATAATTTCATTTCCAGAGGATTTAAATTCATCAGTCATTCATGAACGAAAGATATTACTCTCCCATTCGGTGTTATTTCTCTTCCACATTTTATGAAAATAAACTCGACGTGAATAATAAAGATTATCACGTAATGATAAACGAGGATGCGAGGTCGTTGATCTTTATTAAAGGGTATATAAAATGTGTATGTGTTCCGCAATTGCAGACTTACTACTACTTCGCGCGCCTTGTCTGTCTGTGAATACGTGCATACGTACACGTGTGTAACGTGTAGAGCATCGAGAAACGTGTACATATAATAGTACTGTACATATCTACGTGTGCACTGGACACGCTCTCGTTTTGCCTCTACGACGTGTGGCGCGGCACAGTCAGGCTTTCAAGCATTGCACGGCATATTAGCACGAGACTCGAGTTTGCAGATCCCTAAGATCGTGTAAATGGAGCGTCTCTTGCCTTCCTCTCTTTCTCTCTCTCTCTCTCTCTCTTGTATTTCTCACTTCGTGTAAGGGCTGCCATGTAAATAACTTCACTTGCTTTTAATCATATACCTGTTGTAAACCGCACTTCTGCGGCGTCGGGGGGCGCTCGAAAACGTAATATTTATTCGAGACTTAATTCGTCCGAGAGCGTTTCTCTCATCTGCAGGAAAAATTTTTGCTTTTGAGTAATCAGCCTCGGTGTTTATGTCAAATAATTAAAAGATCATTAAAACTAAAAAAATTTTAACTGCGTGATGCTTGCTTGCTTTTTCCTATTTTCCGACTTTCGTCGAATGCATAAGGGCATAGCGCGAGCTCTCACGTCATAACGTGGAAAATGCCATAAAGCGTGTATAACCCATTCGTTTTATACGTTATACACTCTCCAAAGTTCAGGGGGGATGATACTATCAATGCGCTACATAACATGCCGAGCTACGTTTGCACCTGTATATACTGCGACACTACAGCATTTCGATTTTTTTTTTCTCTTTCGTTCTTTCTTTCTTTCTCTCTTTTTTTTCTAAGCAGCTTTATAAGCTTCGTCAGCGCTGCAGCGAGCTAAGTCGTAAAGTGAAATATATACGTATACACTCGCTCACACAGCCTAGTAGCAGTTGCCTCACGGCTGTTCACCTATCAATACTGATGCGCCTTCATAAAAGCAATTATGCATACAGCGGAGCGCCTGAAATTCTGCTATTCTTCGCATTAGACTATTCGAGCGTTTAGTTCAATGCGAGTTCAGTGCCTCAGTCCGACAAATTAGTACACGTGAGTTATACGCGGGACCAACTGTAAATTACAATAATAATTTCTAATAGTTTTCGAGAGTTCGTGAAACTATTCAAATTAACCATACGAGTCTTATTTTTCAGCGCTATTAACTATTTGTAGTTATAGCAGATGGTGAATATTGAATTGTTATTCTGCCGGAACTGTAATATCTGCTAATTTAATCATCGAATAGGTAGACGCAGCGGCAAAACACGAGCATAAATCCGATGAAGCTAATTGCGCGACGAAACATATAAGATTCATGCATTATCTGCTCGTAGATCAGAGTGGCCTTTTCTAAATTAATGTAATTAGTTTTTGCAACATAAATTATTTATTTTAACTACTCCGACGTATTTGATTCACATCGTGGCAAGTTGAATTTGCATCATAATTTCTCGAGCTATCCCAATTTGCAGGATCGGTATGTCTGTAAAGCGAATTGAATTGTGAGAATGTGCACTGCACAAGAATGTATTTTTGGTTTGTTAAATAGTAGAAATAAAATTGTTGCATTTTTTATACCCTTCATGATGACGAGTGAAATTTTCTGCGCGATCGATATATCACTCGTAAACGAACTTGGCTTTTAAAAAGAGAAGGGCAGAGAGACAGAGAGAGAGAAATTATGTACATACAGATGCACTTTACGAATGAATTCTTTGGCCGTACCGAGGCGTCAAGTAGTATTCCATCGTCATGCGCACTACACGTACACGTATATAGTTTAGTCGCGCTGGCGACAGTATAAAGAATAAGAAAAAAAACTAAATAGTAAATATTTTAAGATGTGCTTAACCTGAAATCCAGCGGTATATTATGTTTATAACGTTGCTGCACATACATCTGTACTGCAGTGCATATATACATGTAAAGCTCGTGCTCGGCCTATACGTATATAAAAGGAGTTGTTAGAAGCGATAGGTACATAGTTATAGAACACGAAGCCCTAGAGAGTTTAAAAGACAAGAGAGAGAAGAGAGAGAGAGAGAGAGAGAGAGAGAGAGAGAGAGAGAGAGAGAGAGAGAGAGTAAAATCAATGCTCAATAGAGCCAAGGTAAAATCTTGGCAATGAAAGAGAGATGGAGCCCGAGTGCCGCCGTTACACGATACGCCGCGAGCGGCCTGATCATCGAGCTCTCTCTTGCGTGTATGCATAGCGTTGGAGCAGTGCAAGTATTAATACATCCTTTCGTGTATTGACAATGGTGTGTATGTGTGTGTGGGTGTGTGTGCTCTGTTCACTGTGAATTGTGCAGCTACGTTGCATGGCTTTAGAGGATTCAGCTCGGCGAGCTCGCGTGCGAGCTCCAGCCACGCGTCCCATATATAACGGCGCAGATAGGTCTCGTCACGCCGAGTCGTTCGATAATATTGTGTATTATTGCGCGGGGGGAAAATCTTAACTTGGGCCGAGGATAATGGATTTTTTCCCTACTTTCCCCTGCATTTATATGCCTCGTGCCGATCGTGTCTTCGAGAGCTTGCGCGCAGAGTAATCGAGCACGCTCACCAAAGCACTGATAATGTACCATCTTATAGACTTTCTCGAAAGTTAATGCAGCATTTATGCACTTTTACCTTGAGATATCTTTTGCTATTCTTTTTCTTAATTTTTTTTTCACCCATTACTATGCACGTATAATCTGAATTACGTAAATGGGTATTTACCCTGTCCTACAATATGACTTTACTTTAGTTACATAAAATCCGTACGTCAAGTGTCCGTAGCACAAGTAGAGTATTCGTCGCTGATTTTATATGAAATTCATCGTACGCCACGCGTATTATATGCAGATTCGCTTCGATAATTAACACATTTTCAATTGTGTATCTCTCCTTCGTTACAACTTCTGCGCAGTTCAAGTACATGAGCATAAGCGAAAAGCATCCG